CAAAATTCAAAACACTAAAAGTTAGGGTTTTTTTCCAAATAGAAAAAATATATTGCTTTTCACAGAAAATATTTCCAAAGTCCAATATTTAAAAGATGACCATGAAGGGAAAAAGAAAAAAACCCTTTATTTAAGACTTTAAAAGAATCTCTGTCTTGTTTCGACAAACTAATGCTAACAGCATACTCATATTTACTTTTAAGGCTAAAATTATGTGCCAATATAAATTTGACCTTATGTAAAATTTCAGAAGCACCAGTATGATCATCTCAAAATTAAGTTATAACTAGATTTATGCTGAATGTAGCTTTTCATTTTAATTTTCTATTTTAAAGTTATGTTAAAGCATAAAAAGTTATAGTCAGAATTGCAGCTTCAAATCATTTGAGTTAATCGGCCACTGCAGTAGAGCATGAAGCATCACACTCTTTCTGAGTAGGTTTATTTTAAACAAGCCACCCTCAGATATAAAAACAGCAGATTGCATGAAGTTTCATGTCAGACACTTTTAGCTTTTCTTATAGGAAGAACTATAAGCAGCTCTCATAGCACATTTCGGAGCAAACAGCTTTGAATAAACTCTGGCAAGCTACCATTCACAGAAATGTAAGATAGAGCTGACATCAACTGAAATAAAATAAGTATAGAACACGCAAGGAGTTATAGGCTTCATCAAAACAAAAATGGCCCAGGGAAAACCATCAACGCGAAGGTCTGACCATCTTTATTGCCTTGCAAGGAAAAAGAGTAAAATATTTTGATCACTCTCCTACTTCTGACCATGCCACGTTTGCCACAAAATCTTAATCCTAAAAGTGATTATACAATGACTGCTGTTTACACTTTGTCCAAATGGAAATAAAGATGACGGTTCATAAGTAACTAAAACCAATCAGACAACAACAGCAACACCCACTTTCATGAGTCAATTTTGATGCCTAGTGACCCTACTGGACAGAGTAGAACTGCATCATAGGCTTTCCAAAGCACGTCTGAGGCTTCAATACTTAAAAATGTCACATAGTACGTATGCTTCAGACAGTTTTAACTGACTTCTCTAGGTCTTAGCATTTAAGTACATATTGAGTGCAGACTGAGGGCATAGTTTCAATGAGTGTGGTTGGAATCTTTATAGAAACAGACTGTCACCTCTTCTTCCCGGTGGATTCAAACTGCTGACCTTGTGGCCAGCAGCCCACCACGTAACCTCTCTGCTACAAGGGCGCCTCATCAGTAGCTAGAATCCCTTAAACATCACTCCTAAAACCTGGCTATTTTAATACAATAATTAATTGACAATAGAATTCCTTAAACATCACTCCTAAAACCTGGCTATTTTAATACAATAATTAACTGACAATTTAATACAATAATTAATGGGCAGTTCCTTCATTTTTTAAGTACTAGTTTGAGATACAAATATACTTACATATCTAATATTCCATAAGCTCATTCTTTAATAACGAAACATTACAAAGTTCTATGGTATATGAAGGGGCTTCGAAAGTTTGTGAGAAAAATCAATTATCTTTCATTTCATCTTTCCATGAACTTTGTGACGTCACTTGTAGGTGTCAGACATGGTTTTAACTCGACATTGCTCGATCTTTGTCTATGAATATAGATTGCCAGGTATATTTTTAGATCTAAGTTCAAAAACTTTTCAATAGAAGATTTTTTTTTATAAGTCGGATACTCATCTTACTTTAACTCATGTGTTTTTAAAAGAGGGAAGCAATCCTATAGTCTGTCTTATATGATATGTGCATTGTATAACATATGTCTACATTAACATATATACGTGTGTGCACACAAAGCTCTGAAAAGCAGAGACTGTTAACTCTTAAAAGTGAGAACATAGAACGTAGACTATCATTTCCTTTTCTTAAATATAACAATTTGAACCACCATGGAGAAATGAGTGATTCTGAAAGAAAATCTTACAGCAATAATCTTATGATCTAGTTCTTATAGTTTTACTTCCCTTCATATGTCAAGTCCTTTCTCAAAGAACTTGTAAAAACATGTTACTATCCCACAAAATGCAAATTAAAATAGGGATCTTCATTACTCATTGTCCATCGTGAGAAGAGTTTCTTTCCCCACCTCCCTTTTCAGAAATAAATAAATTATGAAATTGAATACATTTGGCAAAAAAGGTTTCACTTTTTTATATATTGAAATAAAATGCCTGATAATAAACATAAGGTAAGCTACTCTACAATCTTCCATATTCTGAGTTTCATGTGTAATGACTTTTACAAATCTCTTATGATTTGCCTGGTGCAGTGAAGAAATGAAATGATTTCCAAAGACTAGAAACAAAACAAAACCAAACAACATTCTAATAGAACTGAAATGATTAAGAAATGACCATGCAAACTACAGAAGAAATATGCTGAACTAGGATAACAATTATTTTCAAAGGTCTAGAAAACAACCACAAAAATTTCTACTTCACTGCTCAGATGTTAGATTTTATGTAATCAAATGATTACATGTAACAAATTTATAAATCAGGAATCGCTTTTTTACCCTCAATTTCCTACGGTGTCTAACATGACAACTCTCAGTAGGCAAAAATAAATATTTTCAAATTACTATGTACCTTTAGAGAAATTAATTTGCATACACAATTTGTTTAATTGTGTTTGTCTTTTCAGCAAACAGATCAGATTATTTTAATACGTCAATCAAAGACAGAGGCCACTGATGTACACATATCATTGAGACACACGCTTTTCACATAACAGTAAAGACCATAATCTATAAAACACATTCACCTTCTTTCTTCTGCAATGTTTATGTGTGGCGAATTAGTAATTGGCAAAGAAGGCATGTTATATACCACAGACTTTCAGTTTAAATAAGGGATGAAGCTTGCTGTTAACAATTTAGTTTGAAATGTTAACAATCCTTGAGCTGTTGACATAACAACTAGCCATTAATGCAGTAATGACCAATTTAAGAGAAAATTGTATTCTGATAAATGAATATATTGGTAATCAGGACCAGGTTTTATGTTTGAGAGAGCATGATTATATACTTTCAAATAAAGTAAACATTTGAGTTGATCAAAAAAGCAACATGTAAACCCTTTTAGAAAGTTTTCTGATACAAAAACTATTTTGATAAATGCTATTATCAAATACCTACTTAACATCATAGTTTTGCTATCATAAGGAAGAATAAAGCAAATCAACATTAGAATAAAGAAAGTCTAATACTGCTTTCTCAGGCTTGCTACTATACTGAAAATGGTAAAACAGTTTTACTTACAATAAAGTTATTTCCTTGTCAATTTTTTAATTTAAAATTCCAAATCTTAGAAGAGGTTGTCTTTAACATTCTATTTGATTAGAATTGCTCCCAAATCAATGCACCTGAGATACTAAAATTGTGAACAAATGTAAAAGTTAAAAAGGAATCAAAAAGTGGTGATTATTGCTCAATATAGATAAAACAAAATTAGGTAAGCAATATTAATTCACTCAAAGCAAATACAAAGAGTGTATGTAGAATGAGGTGCTAACTGAGCAGAGGAGACAGTTTTTATTGCAAAGAGAATAGTTCATAAAGTGGGAAGTTTTAAAAATAACCCATCCAGTTTGTTTCTGATGAGCTGTGCCACTACAATGAGGGAAATCTTGCCTGTAGAATCACTCGCCATTGTCAACTCTGCACATGTATTGTGTGCACCTGGTGCACAGAGAAGTAGTAACAAGTGGTCATAATTAAGAGACTGCTGGATGAGGGGAATAGAGTACTATCCCATTCACCTTCAAAACTGCTATTAATCACAGGATAGCATTTATCCATAGACATTGAATCTGAGAGTAAATACCTGATATACATACTGGAAAGCAGCATCAAATTCCCTTGGAAGCCCTCCCAAAAAGACCAAGATGGTTAAGGAGGTCATGAATAAACTTTGTGTCATGGGAGAAACATTAAACACACACACACACACACACACACAAAACTTCATGTCAAAGTAGGAAAAAATATTAATTGTATCCAATATGAAATGCCAAATGATGTTGTGCACCATCTCTCTTATTTGATAGAGCCTGCTTTAAGAGTGACGCAAGTTGCAGCTAAATCAAAGTTCAAAGTTCTGTGCAAAGCAAAATGATTTTTCCTAAATAGAAGTGTGTGTGCCAAGTACGAAATGCTGGCTAACAGGAGCAGGCTTGAGTTTAGTCCTCTGGCCCTTTAGGATACAGCACTGCTTCATAACGGAGAACACCTGCCTTGTCCCGACCCTGCCCAGCCATTCACACACTGGAAAGGGGCTATCTGTCCCCGGTGATGATGGCGACCTTTACTTGGTTATTTTCCATAAAGCTACTGGCAACTGTTCAGAGTTCAGTGATGTCTTTATGGTGGCCACTTGAAAGGTCATGAGAGAGAGAGATGCAGGCGCCAGTGGAGACATTTTCCCAAGCTCCCACAAATAAACTAAACCAGTTACAGATTGAAAACCAAACTTTCTCAGACAAATCTCAATCAGAAACTCTAGCTGACTAACTTGAGAGGACTAAACACAGGTCTAACTAAGAGGCACGCTGTTTGAACTACTGCATCTGGTATCCTTGTCAGCGGCAACTTCTGTAAAACAGAGCCCAACTGTGTTCCCATGAGCCGAGCCACGGCGCCATGTCTTTGCATGATGTTCTGCCCACCTTGCCCAGTACGTCCTAAAAAAGCCAAACAAAACGAAAAACCAAACACATTGATTTCTATCAAGTACGTCCTTGACCTTAAGGGTAAGTTTCGATATAGGCAGCGGGATAACCCAGGAGCACCCTGGCATGCCACATTGAACCCCTTCAGATAGTAATGTAAGTCACATACTCTGGGCAGCATTTCGAAGGCTGACACATCAACACCCACTAGGAATATAGGCTGCCGGTAAAGAAATAAAACAAACAAACACACTTACAAAAGTATTTTTAAAGGAATCCAGTCATCAAGTGGTGTGGAAGGGTAATTCCTACCTCAGATAGTCTCTGCGACAGAGGATGAGATTCGCTTTCGTGTACAGCGTGGATCCCACCTCTCCCAAGCGACAGTCACAGCAGGCACACTTCAGACAGTCTTCATGCCAGTATTTGTCCAGTGCCTTTAGAAGATACCGGTCCTTGATCTTTCGGTTGCAGCCAGCACAACCTTTCGGCTTGGTGTCTGGCTGGACTGAGAGCATTTGTATACCTAAAAGAAGACAAAAGCAGAGTTGGGATGATAAGACAGAACAGGGAGAAAGAAAGATGTCAAATGGTTTCCAACACGTTGAATATTTAATACTGCCATTTCTAAGACTTAGGGTTTTTCTTTTTTGCGGCCCTACTGAACACACCCTAAATTTGGGAAACAAAGAGTCTCAAACTTTAGAAAGTCCTTAGTAAATCATTTACAAAAGCCACCAAGATAAGCTTGTTAAAATAATAAACTCACATGGTACCCAGTAAGATAGCATTATATGCACAGTTAAATGGTTTAAATAATTGTATACTGTTATATAAGTGGCTGATGTATAAAATGTATAATTGTAGCCAATTGTATAAATGGCTGACGATTAAAAAGACACTGTCTACAGGAGTCAAATATGAATTCTCTTAACTGGTTAAACTACTTCACTTAATACACGTTGGATGGTAGAAGGAAAGTGTACCCCAGATGGGACTACATTTGTCTTGCAATGTTTTATAGCTAAGAATGCAGTACTAAAAACCTCACCAATCTCATTTGTTTGTAGTCACTTAAGTCCTCAATAATTCGACATATTCATTACATTAAAATTAAAAATGTATTTATACCTATAAGTACCAGTTAGTGACCAGATTAGTTGTATATTAGCTAATTGTATGTGCTTTTATATAAAACTAAGGCATATGATTATATAATTATAACCATAAATACACATTTATTTTTATAAAGGGAAGAAGGAAGAGGGAAAAATCCAAATATATAAATATAAAATTGTCAAGCATATTTAGATAAATCTATCATATACAGGTATATGTTAAATACACACTATCCTAGGCATAATGGCATTTACATATTTTTTTAGGGTACATCTCCATCACAAATAAGGAGTCTAGGTAGCTTCTACTGGTCTTACAGCTTGATGGAAATATTTTCAATGAAAAGGCATTCAATTTGAGCTTCTTACTTCCTAAGTGTCAAATATTCAGACCTGAAAAATGTTGGCTGAAATCTTAGAATGACTTCACATTTATCAAAGAATTCATTCTATGCATTATAAAATACCCAAATCATCATCTATTCCAAGCACTCTCATTCTACAAATTATGATACAGAGGCTCAAGAGGGATTAAGGGACCGAAGGATGAGGCTTGGGCCTCCTTTCCATCCAGAGAGCCCTCTGCTATACTGCTCATCCTCCCCTAGGCATAAAGTTTTCCACATGCATGTAGAAGGAGACCGAAGACCAAGTGTGCATGTACTTGAGACCGTTTCAAGGCAGGAAAGGCCGAGCTACATTTGACTGCGATCGCTGGGCCTCTCCTGCCTCCATAATATCTAACCCTTCTTCAGTGTCCACTGCTGCCTTATGATGAATGCTTCGCCCCCATTACCTTCAACAACCTTTAAAAGGAAACAACATACAGATAAGAAATATTAATGTATCCCCCCACGGCTGGACAACTTTTCTGGATCCAAAAAAATATATTGCACATAATATTGTCATGATGTTGAACATTCGTTAGAGAAAAACTTGTACGATACAGGGCTGGGGTAGGAAAGGCAGGCTAGAAAGCGGGATGGCTGTTCTTTCTGTGTGACAGTCATCGCCACCGTCACTGGAGCTGCTGACTAGCAGCAGGATTTGTACAGAAGAGCAGGTGGTATTCCTAAAACATGCTCTCTGTCGCTTTTCTTTGCAGGAGCTCAGGGTATAGTATAGATTAATCATAACCCTTGGTGGCTCTGTTCAATCTCCCCCTCTAGAACTTCTAACAAATGAACTTCCTTTGATCAGAACTAGTTATCCACTCCTAGCAAGGTTCCACAAGGAATGAATCCCATTAATTACAGGGCAGAACATACCCAAGTGTTTCTTAACCACATACCTGTGGGGAGGAGGAACATTTTGATTTACTAAATGACATTCTGGATGGTGTTAACATCAACATCCAGGGATATATTAAGAATGGTCATTTGATTTCTCTGATCTATAAAGACTTTAAAGAATCCCATAGCTCATAGATGAGAAAGCAAAACAAAACAAAACAAAAACCCTTCTTCACAGAAATTAAGCTACAAGTTGTGTTACTACATCGCAGCACAGAAGGCCAAGATCTTGCTACCAGGACAGCGGGTAGCAACATTTGGCACAAGGAACACTACCCTGTTTGTCTTCACAAAAATTTTTGTGTGTTGACATTTTAATTGAACACTCAGAGGCCAATTAATATTTGAAACACTTACACTCACTTTTGCCCTGGGCAGAGAAGGAGTTTGATATTTTACTTTCGATCCCTGTAACTTATTTTAAAGAACATCATATTTGTCTCAACAATGGAATCTTTTTGATGATAATTCAAGTTAACAGTTGTAGAAAGGAAGCTATTTTGTAGCCAGCCAGCACCTGAACGCATGCCTAAAGGCACCAGGTGCCATCAGTGGCCTCCTCCTGCCATCCAGAAGGACACATCTAGGTAGAGCTGCATGTTCGTAAGCTGGGAAACATTTCACAAGTTGCTCGTAGCACATCAGGACTCATAACTAGTTTTAGATTGGCATGTAAATTGTTCTGAGGGAAATTCTTATTGCCTCTGAGACCCTGCCATTCTGAGTTATTTGACAGTTTAAGGGAAATCATAATTAAAAAAAGACATAAATAATAGCCTGTGCAGTGTGGTGTGCAGAAATAAGTAGAACCATTTCATTTAAACTCTGGTGAGCTTTTAATTGCCTGGATTGCATTGTGAGGCGGCCTAACGGTTGATTGCCTCCATTATGTTCCCTTGTTCTGTGCCATTCATCCGCACAGTCTCAGCTTCAGTAGTTAGCACCACGAAGTAACCACAACTCCACAGCACACAGGGCTTTAAAATAATAATAATAATAATAATAAAAGATTCACAGCACTTAGAAACAGTCTTTTATATTTTGGGGGGCTAACTACACACAATGAATGGAAAACATTTTGCCCCTCCTCTGCCCGCTTGGAAGATGCACAGAGAACAATTTGGGAGGAGGAGAGGAAGCGGGAATCCATAAAAGGGGGTTGGCAGAGATGAGGTGCCTCAGGAAGATGCTAAAATGGGAATGCAGGTCTTGCAGCTGGGAGCAGTGACATAGATTAAAAGAATTTGGCCAACAGGCCCATTCGGTTGCCAAGAGGTACCAAACAAAAGATTTTCTCTCCTCTACCCATCCTCATCCTCTCCCCAACCCCCAACCCTATTGGAAAACTGGATTGGGCCTAAAAGCTTGTTTCTCTCCGTTCACTGGCCCAGAGCATCCCTACAGGCTGCAGCCCCCTAAGGGACAACAATGCAAATAGATGTCCCCAGATCTCAGGCACTGGAGCTGCTTAACTCTGTTCTGCCCCTTCAACTCCCAACCCCCCTCCCCATACTGCTTCCATCCTCAGGCCACCCCAGCCCCCAACCAAACCCTTTTTTTTTTTTTTTGAGCAATGGAGCTGGGAACCAATTTGATTCCCTTTTTCTCCAATGCAGCTGCAAGGCTCAGAGATACTGACATTTTTCCACTCTTATCAGTTTAATTACAGTTACCATGGCAGCAAAGTGCTAGTGCTTGGCAAAGGCCAACAAGAGATTTGCAAGACTGAGTTCAATTTTGATGCAGCTCACATGCAAAATAAAAAAAAAAAAATAAGAAACATACATACACTCTAACAAAGAATCCCTTGCGGAGTTTATGCTCCAGCCTTTTGTAATGGTGTCTTTGCAGCCACACAGGGATGATTTGCAAAGAATGTAGCAGTTTTTGTTGCACCTAGCAAGATTAATTGGTTTAAGCAGCAGTCTTTCAAAGCCGTTACAACAATAATATTTCGGATCTTAAAGAAAAAAAACACAAAAGCGGCGGAAGAGCAGGAAGGCTTTTGAGCTCCTAAGAGTGCCGAGCGCCGGCAAAGTGCATCTATGATAGATTGTAACCTTACCAAAACTTTTCTCCTTTTTCTGCATGAGTTGACTTAGACGTGCCTGAGTTGCAGCGGCTTCTCATTGAGCACCAAGCCCAACGGTGGAAGTGGAAAGGGGTCTCCGATATATCTCAAGTGTGGACCTGCTGCGCAGAGCGCCTACACCGCCTAGGACCTACTATTGTGTAGCCACTTTGGGAGCGGGTCGGAGTGGCGGCAGGGGTGGGGGCAGGGATGGGGATGGTCGGACCAGACGCGGTGCACACGCGGAGCCCCTCGCAGTGTGGCAGTGTGCAAAATGATGGCGAATGACAAAGCCACATGCTTCCTTAACTCTGCCCATAATCCTAAAATCCCAGCGGCCCCTTTTAGCTTCGTGGTAACAAATGGATTTGATTAAACTGTCACATGCAGCGTTAGCATAGCATATCATGTTCAATATGAAAAAGATCATAAATCTGACTTGTATTTCATAACAGCAATCTGGGTAGCCCCCGTTAAAATGTGCTGCATCAGTTCGAATCAGCCTATTAGGATAAATGCACCTCGTTCCGCTGAGCCCCTCTCCTCCGGCCACTAAGTCCCCAACCCCTGAACACAGCCACTTTTGCATCTTCTAGAAACATTTTGTTATTCGGACTGCCTGCGGGTGGGGATGGCCGAGGGGTGGGGGTGGGGTGGGGGTGAAGCGGAAGTGTCAACAAGAACAAAAAGATTGTGATTTAAACTCTTTCGGGGGCGTCCACGAAGCCCAGCAAGTAAGGTGGGGGGAAGGTCCGGAAACCCACTGAGGACCGAATTCGCTTCCTAAAGGTCCGCGAGTGACCATTTCCCCATCCCGAACTCTTCTGGCCCCCGCTCTCCCCGGGAGCCAGGGGTGTGCAAATGCTGCAGTTCGCCGTGAACTTTGACTATTATCCACTCGAGTCGTACTTGAGACGTTCCGCGCCGCAGCCGCTCGCCCTCCTCCCATCAATATCTTCCGCCTGCATCTATTTCATGTCTCATCATAAAAATAATGAAGCCTCACATGATTTCAACAAAAGCGTCTCAGTAGAGTGAAAGTTGCAGTGCGGAGCCGGGCTGCGGCTCCAGTTTATGCCTCATTAGGAGCGGCTGGGGGAGAGCGAGGGAAGGGGGGACAGACCCACATCCGCACACGCACGCGCGCACCCGCCGACACACACCCCACAAATACGCCGACGCGTGTGTTCCCAGTGGCTGCACTTACCTTCTCAATTAAGCGACACAGGGGGAGGCCGTTCAGGACGCACAGTGGCTGCTTTGTAGCGCTTCTCCTTGGGAAAGGTCAAAAAGAAGCATTGTTTGAAAAAAAAAAAGGGGGGGGGGGGTCGCTATTTTTTTTTTTAAGTTTAAAATAATGAGGTCCTCAAGGATCCGCCAAGGAATGGTGTTGACCGCATCGGAGCCACAGGTGTCCTCCTTTTAGGTAACGGCAGTCGGAGGCCGGCTCGGCGTCCTGGCTCCGGACAACTTACCCCAGCAGCGCGCCGGGAGCCGAGCTGAAGGAAGCCCGGCTCTCAGCTGCAGAACGCAGTCGCTTCCCAGCCAGACATCAGCCAGCCAGAGAAAAGGTCACTCCGTTATTAGGGAGCCGGCGGAGCCCAGGCAGCGCTTGTCAAGACCACAGAGCAGCAGCTCCCTTCCGATTTAAGACTATTTACCTCTTATCCCCACCCCTCCCCTCTTCTCTTCTCTCCCTTTCTCTCCCTCCCTCGCTCGCTGGCTCCCTCGCTCGCCGTCTCGCGTGCCTGTTCTGCAGCTCAGTCAAGTACAGCCGCCCTCGGAAAGTGCAAAGCAGCCGCGAGACAGATCGGGCTTTGTTGCTAATTTCCCAGGGTGAAAATTTACAAGCTCGCGCGTGCAGTCAGCACAACCGCATGCATATGCTCTTGCAAACGCTGGGGACGACCCCGCGCACACACAAAAAGTGACCTTTGCCGGAGTCGACTCCACGAGGACCCTACCTCCTGGACCCGTCCACACGAACTCCTGCGAGAGAGCTCCGGAGGAAAGGGGTAGGAGGGCTCCTAAATATAACCAGGGCATTTTGGAGTAGAAGGCAACCTTTAAAGGAAACTGTCCCCCAAAGCTATTTCTTTTTAAGATGTCAATTCTGGAAACTATAGCAAGGGAATGAAAACTGCTACCAGAATACTCAGGAAGGGCACCCAGCCCTTCCCTTTCAGAAATGTCTTCGGGGTGGAGGGTTTCTGACTTCCATTCAGGAACTCCCGAAAGTCGCCTATCTGCAGGTCGGCCACACTTGCCCTGTCCAGCTGGCCACACACTCCTCCCTTTATTAATAGTCCTGGAGCCAAACTGTGAACTCGTCCCCCCATTACCCCCCCACCCTGGAAACACACTCTTGAATTACTAGAATTCCTTAGGTTTAAAACTCATAGACTCATATAGTAAACATCCAAGAGCACATTGTTTCTAACTTGGTCACACAGTGAAAGGGTCTCCCAAGCTTTGGCCAGAGCCACCACTACTTTCGCTATAGGTTTAAGAAGCCTTATTATATCCTCCCTCCCCCCCACCTGCCCCTTCTTTTTAAAATAGATCCCCCCCCCAACCAGCCTCTTGTTTTCTGAACTTACTTCCCATCTATCCAAACTACTGCAACTTTAAAGTATCTTACTATTTTTCCAAGTTTTTGAACTTCAGAGTTACCCCTCCCTTTGGGCAGCTATTGTAACATCCCCTTCAGATTTCATAAAGCCTATGCAAAAGTCAGTCTTAGACACACAGCCCAAAATTGAATGACCCTGGCTGGAATATTCTAAGAGCCAAGAAAGAGTCAGTTGAACTACGAACTTTTTTCCTTCCCTGCACCATCAGTTAGATTAATATTTTCATTATTTTTTAAATCAAAGCACACCCTGCAGTGAATATTGAGCCCAAGTTCTGCTCTCTTCGGGAAGAATAATGGCATAATATTGACAACTTAGTTTTCGTCCCTTCCCTTTTACAAATTCATAATAGAATAACATGTGGCTGGCTTTCCTCTCCCTTGAAAAGGCAACAAAACTCAGAACTAACCTGAAAAATAACGAAATTCACAGACGGCAGATTAATAAGACCCCCTTCAGTTGATTTGTTCTGTACATATGCAGGTTTCTGAAGTTTGGCTTTTCTGGCCTGTTTAAGCAGGCACACATACACCTCACCCATCCACACAGCTCCCTGCTGCTCTACCCCACCTCTCTGCTGGAGCCACTCTGAAAACACCCAGAGAGAGAGTGTGTGTGTCTCTTGCGTGCTCTCTCAGCCAATGTACTGAGAAGAAGAAAAGAGGGAGGGAGGGAGGGAGGGAAAAGTATGTGTGGGG